TTTGTCAAATGCTTTCTTTGCATCTATTGAGATAATCATATGATTTTTGGTCTTCAGTTTGTTAATGTGGTTTATCTTGTGTATTGATTTTTGGATGTTGAAACATTCCTGCATACCAGGGATAAATCACACTTGGTCTGGGTGAATGATATTTCTGATGTGTCATTGGATTAGATTGGTTAGTATTTTGTAGAGGATTTCTACATCTGTGTTCATCAGGGATATTGTCTATAGTTCTCTTTCTCTGTCAGATCTCTTTCTGGCTTAGAAATTAAGGTGACGCAGGCTTCATAGAAGGAGATTGGAAGGATTCCCTCCATTTCAATAGTTTTGAATAGCTCCAGAATAATTTGAATTAGTTCTTCTTTACATGTCTGGTAGAATTCAGCAGGGAATACACTGGGACCTGGGCTTTTCTTTGTTGGAAGGGTATTTATTACTGATTGAATCTCCATTTTGGTTGTTGGTCTGTTTATCTCTTCTGTGACTTCATTACTGAATTTATATAGGTTGTATGTGTCCAAGAATCTATCAGTTTCTTCTAGGTTTCCCAATTTGTTGGCATACAGCTCTTTGTAGTGATTCCTAATGATTCTTCTTACTTTTGTGGTATCTGTTATATTTCCTTTTTCATCTTGGATTTTATTGATTTGGGTCTTTGCCCTCTTTTTTGCTGAGGCCAATGATGTGTCAATTTTGTTTATATTTTTCAAAAAACAGCTCTTCATTTCATTGACCTTTTGTGTTTTTTTTTTGTTGTTGTTGTCGTTTCAATTTTGTTTATCTCTGCCTTAATTTTAGCTATTACTTTCTTCCTACTGATTTGTGGTTGGGTTTGCTGTTATATTTCTTGGTCTATGAGATGCATTCACAGCTCATTTGCTTGGTGACTTTGTAATTTATTGATGTAGGCACTAATTGCTATAAAATTCTCTCTTCACTCAGCTTTTTCTGTATCCCATAAGTTTTGATATGATGTATTGTTATCTTCACTCATTTCCAGAATTTTTTGATTTCTGTTTTGATTTTTTTTCAATAACCCACTGTTCATTTAGGTGCATGTCATTCAGTCTCCATGTGTTTTCATATGTTCTTCAGATTCTGGAGTTGTTGGTTTCAAACTTCATCATTATCAGAGAAGTTGCAGGCTATTATTATGATTTTTTTTTTATTTGCTGAGACTTGCTTTATGGCCAGCGTGTAGTCTATTCTAGAGAACATTCTAGGCATTGCTGAGAAGAATGTGTATTCTACAACTGTGGGGTGAAAAGTTCCTTAGATATCAGTTAGGTCCATTTGGTCTATAGTGTTAATTAGCTCTGTTGTTTCTTCACTAACTGCCAGAGCTGCGCCAATCTAAAGCCAGGAGCCAGAAGTTTCTTCCCGGTCTCCCATGCGGGTTCAGGGGCGCAAGCACTTGGGGTATCTTCTACTGCTTTCCCAGGCCACAGTAGAGAGCCAGATTGGAAGAGGAGCAGCTGGGACTAGAACTGGCACCATATGGGATGCCAGTGCTGCAGGCAGAGGATTAACCTACTGCACTAAAGTGCCCACGCCAGATCTGTTAACATTTCTTTTAAATAGGCTGGCACCCTGTAATTGGGTGCATATATATGTATAATAGTTATGTCTTCTTGTTGTATGAATCCCCTAGTCATTACATATTGTCCTCTGTCTCTTTGAAACAGTATTTTTTTGTTAATGTCCATTTTGTCTAATATTAGGTGGCTATATCTGTGCTTTCTTTCTTTCAGCTAGCATGGAATATTTTTTCCATCCTTTCACTTTCAGTCTATATGTATCTTTGTTGATAAGGTATGTTTTTTATAGGTCTTGTTTTTTAATCCATTCAGCCAGTCTGTATCTTTTAACTGGAGAGTTGAGGCCATTTACAATAAAGGTAACTATTGAAAAGTAACTATTTGTTCCTGCCATTTTTTCATGAGTATTCCTGCCATTTGGATTTTTTTTGTACTTGTACTGTGGGATTTTCTGTCTTTGCATTCTTTCATGATGATGATTATTTCTTTCTGTGTGTAGCACATCCTTTAGCGTTTTTTGCATGGCTGTATGAGTGGTGACAAATTCTTTCAATTTCCATTTGTTATGGAAAGTCTTTTTTCATCTTCACTCATAAATGCCATATTTGCAGTGTATAGCATTCAGGTTTTTTTTTTTTTTTTTCTCTTAAGATCTGGACTGTATCTTGCCATTGTCTTCCATCTTACAGCATTTCTGATAAGTCAGCTGTGAGTCTAATTGGAGATCCTCTGAAAGCAATCTGGCATTTCTATCATGCACATTTTAGAATCTTTTCTTTATGCTTTACTGTGGAAAGTTTGACTACAACATGTCGTGAAGCTCTTTTCTGGTTATGTCTATTAGGAGTTCTATGTGTTTCCTGTACATGGACAACGCTTTCTTTCCCAAATAGGGAAGTTTTCAGTAATTATGTCACTAAATAGTTCTAGTCCCTTCTCTCTTTCCACATGTTCAGACACTCCTAATACTTGATTATTGGGTCTTTTCATAGTATCCCATAGAGTTTCAACACCGTTTTTTTTTTTTTTTTTTTTTTAGTTTTCTAATTTCTTCTTCTTTTTTTCAGTCTGACTATAATATTTCCAGAGATTTGTCTTCTAGACCAGATATTCTTTCTTCTGCCTCACTAACTCTGTTGTCTAGACTTTCCACTGCATTTTTTATTTGATCTATTGAATTCTTCATTTCTAATATTTCATCTTGATTTCTCCTTAAAATTTTCATCCATATTGTATAGATTTTCTTTAGTTTATAAATTTTCTTCTGATTGCTTTTGAGAAATCCTATGATTAATTTTTTGAATTCTATTTATGTCATCTTTTCAATCTCTTCATTTTCACATTCTAATATTGAAATGCTGTTGTTTTCCTTTGGGGAGGTCATATGTCTTCCCTATTCTTGTTTGTTGAATTTCTGCATTTATTTCTAGGCATTTGTACACTGTTGTGTTTTTTTTTTATTTTTATTTTTTCCTCTGATGGCATTTATCTTTGACGTATGTCTCTGTGGCTTAGTGGTATGTCTACACTTTCAGCGAATACCAAGAGGTGCATGGTGGTTGGCTAGGGTTCTCTGGTCTGTGTTCCAGGATGGGGTAGCTATCCAGGGTAACACCCTAGTTGGGCATGCTAGCTCTCCTCTGGTTACTGGAAGGAGAATAGTCACCTCTGTTGGTGAGACCACTTCTTGTCTTCCAAGCTGAGGAATGTCCAGGTGTTAGTCCCCATTTTATTCAAGTCTCATCTGCACTGCCATATGAACCGCATATATGATCTGTGCAGTCTTTATTGTGAGCACGGTTCCCTCTGCTATGAACGGCTCTAGGCAACCAGGGAGCTCTGAGAGTGTACAGCAGCACTCTGTGATTGCCTAGAACCCAGCTACACCCTGACTCCTCTCATAAAGTCTCAGTGTTTTCTCAGTCTCAGCACCCAGGGCTCTGGAGTCACAGAGTGCAAGTGTAGCCACTCACCCCCCTAGCCCGTCTTGTCCTTAGGAAGACAGGTGTTTGCAGAGCCATTGTCCATGTGTGTTTCAGCCCATTGGATCTAGTCTGGTCTTTTAATCAGATTTAAATTCTGTGGGGAATGCAGGTTTTCTCTCTAAAAAGACCTCTGGGTCACAGGCGCACTCTACACCCAGCAGCCGCAGCCCAGTTGGCTTCACATTGTGCTGGGTGCATAGGAGAGTTCTGCAGGCAGACCTTCCCTTCCATGGGGATGGCTTCCTATCTCCATCTATTGCTGGTGGGTGCAGCTGGCAGTGTGGAGACCATCTCTGCCAATTGCTCCTGAACTTCTGTGGTTGCCCTGCTGACTGGGTGGAGGGCAACCCCAGTAGTATGTGGGTACGCACACAGAAAGTGGGGCAGCCATCACCTGCCTACATCCAAAATTGGTGCCAGCCCTCCCACCACTGGCTGCAGGTTGCTGCTGTGCTGCCATAGTGGGTAGAAGGGGAGAGAGAGAGAGAGAGAGAGAGAGAGATGCACTGCTTCCCTTGCCAACCCCACATTGAAACAGTGCAGTTTACCAAGTTCTCCCTACAGTTATATCAACAGTGATGCAGGCCCATGCAGTCTGATCTCACCTGGTTTGCCCTGGCAGGTGCTTTTTCCCTTGGATCCAAGCTGCTGGGTTATTTGTTGTTTTCTGTTCTTTGCTCAACGTCTGCAACTTCCACATGGGTCCAGGTAGTCTCTACTACTCCTTCAGGACCTCCCCCTGTAGCCCTACCCTGCAGCCCTACTCTGAGAGTGTACCTTCTCCACTTTTTTTACATTAATTTCACTTAACCCAATTCAGACCACCCTGTCACTATTCCATCATCTTGAAACCTCGAAAATCTCATTTTAAGAAACTACTTCGATAAAGTTTTCAGATAGTATCACTAGAAGTTAACATTACGTTTCTACTTCTTGTAAATACACAGAGAGATGGAAAACAGTAACATGTCTAATCAAACAAGCGCAGACTTCATTTCAACTAACCATATTTCCTAGTACAATTTTATATGTATTTCAGTATAAGCAAAAATGATACAAGAGTGTAATAAAATATATTAAAATTAAATGATGGTGTTTCTTTCATCATGCCAAGTTCAAATGAACATTCCCTCCATTTGAGAGGTAATACTCTTTCAAATTCCTTTTTCAAGAAATGCCAAGCATTTTCCAAGAAACTAGTAAATATCTTAATAACAACTGGAAAAATTACTAATCCATGAATTAATAAAAATGCAATTACAGCTTTATAGATTCATTTCTCTACAGGCATTAAAAATATGATGGAAATTAATCACTACTGTTGGTAAATTAAGGCTCATCAAGCAAATGTGACAAAGCTGAATCATGTACAATGACACTTGTTTATCTTCTATAATTAATATTTTAATGATTTTACATGACTATTAAAATTATACCAAAATCATAAAAAGCTGATGATTTAACTTACACTTACCTCATATGTGTGATAATGAGTGTTGTGGTGGGAATGAAAAAATCATCAACTCTGTCGAACTGCTTTCCCACTGGCTGGGTGTGGATGGTGTGGTGAGGAATATTCCCACTGGCCTGGGTTATTACCTAAATATGACACAACCTAATTAGGGTTCAGTATTGCATTCACTTAATAGAATGAGTTTCACTTGTATTCAGAGATGAAAAAAGTCACTTCATGAGAGTTGTTTGCATGCACTCTATTGTCTCTCTTTAAAGTACTATAATATTAAGCAAACTGCAATATTGTAATTGCTTTGCTAATTTTCAGTATAGAAACTTCAGTTTCTATAAATAACTATAAAGGAAAAATATTTGCCTTGAACAATTCCTGCTTAAAATAATAACAAATTGATATGCATATCAGCAAATTGCATATTATTATTCAAGTGATAATTTTGGCATTATTAAAGGATAATTTGGCCATCATGAGAAAAATAAAAGCAACCATATACATGATATAAAGGAAATCTTAGGAAACATTTCCCTCTGTAGGATAAAACTGGCAAAATGAATCTGGAAACTACAAAGTAAATCCAATGAATTATATTACTTTACAAAATTTTAGAGCATATAAAATCACACCTTAAAATTTTTCCTCCTTCACATTCAAAATGATTTCTTTAAGCAAGTTTTAATCAAAGGAGTTTCTTTTTTCAACACTAATTGGTTTCAAGCCTTTATAGTTCACTAAAGAAAAGATCACTCCATTGGAACTCTTTTATTCCTCAAACCCAATTCTATACAATATTCTATCAGCTCTTTCTTATGCCTCATGTTTCTTTTCATTGTTCCTGTCACAGAACCATTGTTCAGTGTTAACCTTTTAAAAGTCTTTCTTTACTGCTTTCCATTTTTCCCCTTTTAAATACTTTGCCCATTTGGCTACAAAATTCACCTCCTGAACTTTTGACTGGCTTTCTTTGTTGAATATTAATACGCCTCACAAACTAAGTATTTTCCTTTGGTCTTCAGGACAGAAGTAAATAACATTTTTACTATTAGGGATTATTTTCTCCAAAATGGCATTTTTTTTCTTCATTCAAATTTATGTACTTTCATTGATTTCCACTTGGAATTTCCATGCTCATTGAAAATAAACTCTTATAATAGTCACTACAGAATAATTTACATTACAGTTAAAAAACAAAACATAAAATGATCCTTAATGTCTTAAGTGCCCTAGAAAGTATAGATTTTGCTTCATTCATGTCTCTTTGCCAGTGGGCTCTGGTTGGATAATGCTGTTTATACTCGGTTCTCTTGAATTTGGGTAAGCAATGCTGCTGCTTTATTTGGAGCTTCAACCTTAACTAACCTTGCAGCTTCCACTTTCCTGCAGCCTGAACCAATCAGGTTGATAATACTTGTTGAAAGCAGCCACATGCTCAGTAGAGATGATACCCCGCTGTCCTTAATGAGCTGTACTATGAGAATTAGTGGTAAAACCTGTCTCCAAACTGTACTTTATACTTGTGTGTCTGTGTGGGTGCAAATAGTTGAAATCTCTATGTTGGTCTTCTGTATAGCAAGTCAATTAAAAACGAACCTTAATGGACAATGGGAGATGGAGTGGGAAGTGGGATGGGAGTGCGGGTGGGAGGCGGGCAGGAATGGGAGGGGGGAGAAACACTATACCCCTAAAAGCCGTACATATGAAAATTTGTATTCATTAAATAAAAACCTTAAAAAAAGCAGCAGAGACCCAGCTGAACAACACTAGCAGGTCGCAGACATGGGGATGAGGTCATAAAGACCCTCCAGCTCTTACCAGATCATTGGTGTCACATGATCACTCTTACATCACACTGGCAGAATTTCCCAAAAACCACGTCACAGAATTGTGAAGCATAAATGATTTTTTAGCTTTGTTTAATTTTAAAACATAAAGTTTTGCGGAGGCTGATTTGCAACAACAGATAACTGAAATTACATTTTATGTTTTAGATGGCTCAAATGATACTTATTTCTAGAACATATAAATTATACCATCAGTATTATATCTAAATATTTCATTTCAAATGATCTGCCATTTATGAATACACATCGTAATAATGAAAATACCTCAGAAACATTAACATTTTGTTAGTGGCAAATAATCAAAAATAAAAATATTCTATCCAAGCTACTTTACTGAAAAATGGCCAGAGGCTAATGATTTACTGTCTTGTAAGGAGATGCATATTCAAGACAGTAGTACTATAACAAGGCAATTTGAATGCTAGCAGAAAACATTTGTCTAGCACAAAACATTTCTTTCAATTCCATTCCTATTTCCTTTCCAACTAGTTACTCCAAAAATCTGTGGACTGTGCCAAAGTATCACGATTAAAATTGATATATTTTTTCTGCCCGTGATATTCTGCAATAAACAACTTTGAAGCAGTAGCAAAATTGTTGGGAGCAGCACGTGGCTGGTTCTCTCAGAGGCCTAGGCTTTGGAGCCCACCGCACAGCAGGAATTCTGCTGCAGGCATGCTTGGCCTGCCTGCAAAGGCTGAGCTATGTCAGTGGCAAGGGCCACTTGACATGATGCTGAGACAGCTACGGGGATGCTGCGGGCCTGGGAAACAGCAAGTGCCAGGTTCGCCCCTGTTAACAGTTATTCTCCCTCATGACTCATCAACACTGGGGTTGTTCTCTCAATCCCGGTTCCAAGCAGACAAGTCCTTCCTGTAAACACCGAAACTCCCCACTGTTCCCTGTTTCACTGTGCTTAAACCCCTTCATCATAAATTCCTGTTTGCAGGAAACTGTACATTTTTTATGATCAACCAATCATGCCACTGCTGATACTAAGTACTTGGAGTAACCAGATGTCTGGGTCTCTGCTTCTGTCTCCACTTTGGCAGTGGACAGAGTGTCCTGCAGTTTCCCCACATTTAAATCTTTAATCTGAGTCTGCTTCCTTAATCTCTGCAACACCGTTCCTCTTTCTGGTTAACCTAACACCCTGCCATGCTGGACACAGCACAAAATTACACAAATTCCCTCATTAAAAATTAGCCAGTTCCTGGGAATTTACCCAAAGGAAATGAAACCAACATGTGAAAGAGTTGTTATCATCCCCACGTTTATAGCAGCTCGATTCACAGAAGCTAAGATACCGGATCAACCCAGATGTCTATCAACTGAGGACTGGATAAAAATTGTGTTGCAATTACAGGATGGAATACAACTCAGCCATAAAAAGAATGAAATCCTGTCTTTTGCAACAAAACGGATGAAACTGGAGATAATTATGCTTAAAAGGACAAATATCATATGTTCCAAAAACACACATGTCGCTCCCCCTCTTCATGGAGGAACGACACTAAGTCCTGCCTAGGCTTCATATCCGAGTCACGGCACCATTATGTCGCTCCCCCTCTTCGTGGAGGAGCAACACAGGACCCTGCGCTGTTCTTTCGTCTGCTCGGCCCTCCCCGGGTTTGCTGCTGGTTCTTCCCGGGTTGGCTACTATCCCTTCCACCTCCGTGGAAGGGCAGTTCCCCCTGGCCGCATTCCCCACTTCCGCAGGGGAGCGGCAGACCGCCGGCCGGCTTTCTCGGGGGCTGCACGGGTTCCCTTAGATGTTCCCCATAGATGTTCCCGGTGCATGCCGTCTCTCTCCTCCTTTATAGTCCTCCTCCGCCAATCCTAACTCGGCTGCCCACACGCCGAGTACGCTGCTCTCCAATCAGGAGCAAGTCCTACAATTTATTAGTTGAACTGGAGGCAGCTGTGCGGAAGCTGTTTACTTCTCTCCCAGCGCCATATTGTGGGAGAGCAGATGCATAGAATAAGTCTTAATTCGAGTAACTTAGTCTAGTCCGGATTGCTCCCCACACACACATGTATGTTTCTTTCTGATGTGTGGTAGTTAATACGGAATACAAAAAAATCCCAATATGTAAGAATGAAAGACATCTTATGATTTGATTATTTGTTTATAGCCCTTGTCTATATTCCTGTGGAACTGTGATCTTTCCACTTTTTACTTGTTGAACATTAAGGTTAGTGATGTGTTAAGGCTGTAATTATAAAGTAAATTAAAAGTATATTTTGACAAAAATTAAAGGAAAAAAAACAAAGGAAAGGAGGAGGAAGATTGAGGAAGGGAGGGAAATATGGTAATATTAAAAATGTATCTATGAGATACATGACATCTCTTCTCCTTGTATTAGTAACTGTGATGGGTTGAATGTGTCCCCTAAAAGTCCATGCATTAGTCTCAATGCTGTGGTGTGAGGAGGGGAGGTTTCAAAGCTGCCTTCACGAGTGGATTAATGGATTCAGAGAGCATCTTTGTTACCACAGTGAGAGCTCTCTGACATGCTCCATCCATGTTGTTGTGTGATGCCTGCTACCTGCAAATACGCAGCACGGAGACCCTCACATAAGCTGCCTCCATGACCTTGGACTTCCCAGATTCCAGGACTGCCGGCCAAGGTAAACCTCTGTTCCCTATAAATCACCACCTCAGGCAGTCTATTACGGCAATAGCAAACTCACCAAGACAGATGAATTATGACTTGTTTCCCCTAAAAGCATCAATGTTGTCATCATATGATATTCTTTTCGCCTAGACATACAGCCTTTAATAAATCTGACCTGTGATTTTTCCAATCAAAAAAGTACTTGAGTAACAACTTCTTTTTTGTCTCTTTCATTGGGAATAATGCTACTATCTTCATTTGGAAGAATGTCGTTGTTAAATGTTCATAAATATCAAGGAAGATATCTAAAGGCTTAAAACTTATTATTTTCTCGTGTATACTGAGATGCACTTACCTGCAGTGTGGGTGATGCCTTATCCATGGAGCCCCAGCTGTGCACCCAGACCTGGTCGTGTGATTTGTCGTAGTGCAGTTTAACTGGGACAGGGTCTGTGCTCACTGCCTATAATAAGGAAAAAATAGGGAAAAATAAGTGTATTCATCTGGAATATTTGTTTAAAATTATTTCCCAAACTATGAAAGGTTTCAAGAATTTTTATGTTAGGTTAATTATTTATTTTTCCAACTATCTATGTTTCTAAACCTTTTTTGATTAATTTGGAAATAAGTTTACTTTAAAATTTATTCATTATTTCCACAATTTTATTAGTTTTTATGGTCATTTGTTACTTATACAAATTGGATGTTAAGAAAAAGGTATTTAGAAACTGAAGACACAAAAGATTAAGATTTTTGTTTTATTCAAGTATTGAATTCAGGTGAGAAAAAATGCTTATCCTGTTAGTTTTCTACCACCCTCATACTGGTTTGGGACTTGATCATCTATAATGCTAAAGCACCAACAATATGATATATGATTGTTAACTCTAAAAACTGATTACCTAATTTAATTTCCTTAATGAGAAATCCAAAACCACATAAATATAAAGAGGCATTTTTTTTGCACTATGCTTGGTATGGTAAATGTGTTTTTCTGCTAATATTTATAATATTTAGCATTTACTTAAAACAACTCCCAGAAAACAAATTGCTGCAAGGAAGTTATTTTACTTACCTTAATTTCAAGCTATTTATATTACAAGCTAACAGCTTTTAAAGGTAATTTCCTGTAGTAGTTACTCATATATGTTTTCTAATTTTATAACTTAAATTGTATTCAATAAAACAACATTTATTCAATAATGAAAGCATTTCTTCTCAAAGTACAGCTAAATATCTTTAGAGAACTTTCTAAGCTCTAATTCATAATAGAATGGTCTTCCCAGTAGGTTAGTTACAGATAAACTATAATTGTGGCTGGGCATATGCAAATTCATATTTTTATTTGGAAGTTGAAAAATTAGTCTTACTAATATACCTCTTTGAAAATCATGTCTTGATTTTCACCTACTTTAAATTCTCAATATTGAAGGGTAACTGAAAGTGATTATCAGATTTCTGAAGAGACATATTTAAACATTTTTATATCAATGTCTTTACCCCTTTCTTGCAAACAGAGCAAAGATATAGTTTTGCCATCAGGTAACAGCAATATTGTCTGAGAAGGGAGAGCACTTGGTGAACCACAAATATTTAAACCAACGATCAATCCCATTCCCTTCTGGAGGGATGAGGTGGTTGCATTGCATATACTACTTTCTGCATGGTAAAAGTTAATACAGTGCATCATTCCTGAGAATACATTATATGTCATCCACAAAGACACTAGGAGAAGCCTGCCTTGTACCTCAATTTCTCCCTTTTCATGCTTTGGATATGACTATCTGAGGATCTTAAGCTTTACATTTCCAAATCCATTTTGAGGCTATGTAACCACAGGCTTTAGGAGGAAAAGCTGACCATTTGAGAATACAGTAAGAGGAAAATAAAAGGCAACAGAATTATTTATCATAACCTTGAATTCCTGCATGAGCCTAAACTTAGTGCTACTAAGGTAATAAAATACCTATATTGTTTAAGTAACAGCTGGTCTGGTATTATTTTCATTGTATTTGAATGAATGTATTACTCATCAAGAATTACAATGTGTATATAGCAGAAGAACCACAATTAACAAGTATGCTAGTGGGCTGGCTTTGTGGGACAGTGAGTTAAAATCCTGCTTGCAACACTGGTATCCCATACCCGAGTGTTTCTTGAGGTCTGGTTGCACTACTCCTAATCTATCTCCCAGCTAATATACTTGGAAAGGCAGTCAACGATAGCTCAAGTAATTGGGTACCTGCAACCCACATGAATGGATGGAATTCTATGCTCTAGGTTTGTGCCTGGGAACAGCCCCATCCAATACATCCATTTGGGAGTGAACTAACAGATGGAAGATCTCCCTCTCTCTCTCTTTGTGTCTGCCTCTCTCTCTCTCTTTTTTTTAAAAAATATTTATTTATTTGAAAGACAGAGTAACACAGAAGAGAGAGAGAGAGACAGAGAGAGAGAGAGTCTTCCATCCACTGGTTCACTCCCCAAATGTCTGAAACGGCTGAAGCAGGGCTGATCTGAAGCAAGGAGCCAGGAGCTTCTTCATTCTTCCTGGTCTGATACGTGGCTTCAGGGGCCAAGGACTTGGGCCATCTTCGGTTTGCTTTCTCAGGCCATAGCAGAGAGCTGGATTAGAAATGAAGCAGTCAGATCTGGAACTGGCACTCATGTGGGATACCAGCACTGCAGGCAGCAGCTTTACCTGCTGCACCATAGCATCAGCCACTGTCTCTCACTCTCTTGTGTCATGCTGTCTCTCAAATGAAATAATTGTACCTTAAAAAGTTAAATATACTAATGACAAAGCAGCAGGATACTTTGACATTTCATGTTTTCCCATCTTTTTGTTAACCTTATCTATGTGGGATTATAATAGCCTGTTTGCATGAGCTTCAAATTAAATAATAATTAGATATTTAAATATTATAGACAAAATAGTTCAATATAAACAAAAGCAACAATAACAAAAAGCCTCATTGCTACTCAGTTATAAGAATATGGTTATAAAATAATTAGAGGTAATAAGAGGTTTCAAGGAATCATTTAGAGAGAATGGTGAGATATACTCCAGGTTTTAAGAGAAAAAACTGTCAAACCAGAATATTGTACCCTGAAAATCTCTCATTTATGATGAAGGTGAAATAAGACCTTCCATAACAAACAGAAATTAAAGAATTTGTCACCACCCATCCAGCCTTGCAAAAAGATGATTAAGGATGTGATGCACACTGAAACACAAAAACATGTTCATCACTACAAAAGAAGGTGAAGGCATAAAATCTCCAGTAAAAGTACAAAGGAAATCCAAAATAAACAATAGGAATATTTATGGAAAAATGACAGGGCAAATTTGTTATTTATCAATAGTCACTTTGAATGTAAAAGGCCTCAACTCTCCAGTTTAAAGACACAGACTGGCTGAATGTATTAAAAACCAAAACCCATCTATTTGCTGCCTACAAGAAACACATCTCACTAACAAAGATGCACACACTGAAAGTGAAGGGTTGGAAAAAGATATTCCATGCTAACAAAAACCAAAAAAGAACTGAGGTAGCCATCCTAATAACAGACAGAATAGACTTTAACACAAAAACTGTGAAAAGAGACAAAGAAGGGCACTATTAATGATTAAGGGAGCAATTCAGTAGGAAGATGTGACTATTATAAACATATATGCACATAATTACAGGGCACCTGGCTATTTCAAAGAAATTTTAAGGAATCTAAATTGAGACACAGACTCAAACACAATAGTAATGGGAGACTTCAATACCCCACTTTCAGCAGTGGACAGATCAACAAGACAGGAAGTCAGCAAGCAAAAAATGAAGTTAATTGACACTATTTTCCAAATGAATCTAACAGCTATCTATAGAACTTTCCATTCTACAGTTGTAGAAATCACATTCTCTAGAATTGATCACACGCTAGGCCATAAAGCAAGTCTCAGAACTAAAAAAATAAAATTATACCATGCACCTTTTTGGACCACAATGGAATGAAGCTGGAAATCAGCAACACAGGACATAGTTTATTTGGAAAATATATATATAAAATCAAAGCACAAAAATCAACAGCCTTTGTATACACAGACAATGCCATGGCTGGGGAAGAACTTCTAAGATCAATCCCATTCACAATAGCTACAAAAACAATCAAATACCTTGGAATAAACTTAACCAAGGACGTTAAGGATATCTACAATGAAAATTACAAAACCTTAAAGAAAGAAATAGAAGAGGATACCAAGAAATGGAAAAATCTTCCATGCTCATGCATTGGAAGAATCAATATCATCAAAATGTCTATTCTCTCAAAAGCAATTTATAGATTCAATGCAATACCAATCAAGATACCGAAGACCTTCTTCTCAGATCTGGAAAAAATGGTGCTGAAATTTATATGGAGACATAGGAGACCTCAAATAGCTAAAGCAATCTTGTACAACAAAAACAAAGCTGGAGGCATCACAATACCAAATTTCAGGACATACTACAGGGAAGTTGTAATCAAAACAGCATGGTACTGGTACAGAAACAGATGGATAGACCAATGGAACAGAATTGAAACACCGGAAATCAATCCAAACATCTACAGCCAACTCATATTTGATCAAGGATCTAGAACCAATCCCTGGAGTAAGGACAGTTGATTCAATAAATAGTGCTGGGAAAATTGGATTTCCACGTGCAGAATCATGAAGCAAGACCCCTACCTTTCACCTTACACAAAAATTCACTCAACATGGATTAAAGACTTAAATCTACGACCTGATACCATCAAATTATTAGAGAGCATTGGAGAAACCCTGCAAGATATAGGTACCGGCAATGACTTCTTGGAAAACACCCCAGAAGCACAGGCAGTCAAAGCCAAAATTAACATTTCGGATTGCATCAAATTGAGAAGTTTCTGTACTGCAAAAGAAACAGTCAGGAAAGTGAAGACAAAACCGACAGAATGGGAAAATATATTTGCAAACTATGCAACTGACAAAGGGTTGATAACCAGAATCTACAAAGAAATAAAGAAACTCCACAACATCAAAACAAACAACCCACTTAAGAGATGGGACAAGGACCTCAATAGACATTTTCCAAAAAAGGAAATCCAAATGGCCAACAGACACATGAAAAAATGTTCAAGATCACTAGCAATCAGAGAAATGCAAATCAAAACCACAATGAGGTTTCACCTCACCCCAGTTAGAATGGCTCACATTCAGAAATCTACCAACAATAGATGCAGGAGAGGATGTGGGGAAAAAGGGACACTAACCCACTGTTGGTGGGAATGCAAACTGGTTAAGCCACTATGGAAGTCAGTCTGGAGATTCCTCAGAAACCTGAATATAACCTTACCATTCAACCCAGCCATCCACTCCTTGGAATTTACCCAAAGGAAATTAAATTGGCAAACAAACGAGCTGTCTGCACATTAATGTTTATTGCAGCTCAATTC